CTGATTTAACTAAACGAGTGTAAAAAAGGTAATGATATGTTTATTGAAACATGGGGGTTTATGTCAGCTAGACCTACGATCTTTTCAGTGTAAATATACAGAGGAACTTCTGGGGCTGAGCTTAGATCTCTCTAAAATTTCTCAGAAGATGTACTTAGAATTAGGCACAAATAGGTATGAGCCTTCTAGATAGCAAAATTTAGCTCTTGTTACATTGAAGAGACTGTAGTTTTGATTCACGTGGGTGTAGCCTTGAGATTATACCTTGAGGAGACAGTCTTAGCTGGGGTACCATGGAATCCAAAAAACCCCACCATAAACGTGTTCTTAAACTGTATTTTCTTAGGAGCTTTCAAGTTCTAAAGAGCATCACCTGATGATAAAGACAGCTTGTTAGTGGGTCATACTCAAAATATTTAGAGCTTTATAAGTCATAGCAGTTCATGAAACTTTTACTTGCAAACAAAACCTGGAGTACTCTTCAGAGGACAAGAATAATAATTTCTCCATGGAGCACAACAAAAGTAGTAGCTATTATTTTAAACTAGTTAATGCTTTAAAATAGTGTTCAGGATCGTTTACAGCAAGACCCCATTTCCATTTTGGAACTGGACAAACTATGAGTCATGGCAAAAGCAGTCCCCTTGCTCACGTTAAATTCTGGCTGCCTGGGAGCTCATGTCACCTCTTGCTTTCTGCTCTATAAGCACTGTGCTTCTGTATAGCTATTTGAGCATGTGCAAATGCAGCCCAGTTTCCAAATCTGGGTGTTATTTTTTTCTAAGATTATTTTCTCACCCCCACAGTTTTTGACAACCAAATAGATATTTATTCACTACATTTGCACTAGTTTACTAGCAAAACATGAAAAAAAAGTATAAATGTACACATTACATTAAAGTGCATTAATGAGAAACGGTCATCTCACTTGCACAGAACTGAAGTGTACTCCCATAATCTTAAAGACAAGTGTGGCAGAGAGACACAGACACACATACAAAAGTCAGTACTTACCGCTCTAACATGTAAGAGTTTGCGTTGTCCTGAAAGCCCTCTGTTTATGATCGCATACCAAACAGAAGTTTTTCTTTGGGACATAGCAAAGGTGCATACATGAGTGTATTTTGGATTTTCATTTTGAAGTTTGATTGGTTGGTATGGGGAATATTTTAGTTTCTTTTTAGAGAATGATTTTACATTGTCTGACACACGTATTTGTTTGGATGGGATTTAATATTAACAAGCATAAGATCTTTCTGGTCCTTCACACCACACCTTCATTCCATTTCAAGTCTCCACTTTAGGGAACTGACTGCTTTAGCAGCAGGTACTGCTGAAGAATTGCTGTAATGCATTTAAGGACTGGAGAAAAATAAAATGTAGAGATTGTGATTTAAAGCAGATATCTGCATCCCTTTAAAATTTTTAGTTCTGCTGAGATCTTCTAGGCTCCAAGCAGCTACAAGATATTTTATTTAGAAATTTTTAAAAAACCAAACTTATCTTTGTATAGGAGGAGGAAGAAAATAGTTTTAACTCTGCATTGGTCATTGTCTAGTGAACAGGCAAACTGTCTCCACTGGGTATTTTGCATGTTTGATATGTATATAGATTGATACATACATATATGAATACATATATGCACACATGTATACCTCTTTATGTATTCTCTGTGAGGCATTTATACACACATCCTCACCTTACATTAGGAAATTAAGGGCCTAAAATCCATTACATGATCAAACATACAACATTCTAACCATAAATCCTATAGTACACAATTTATAGAATGTACAAAGATCTAAGATGCCTTAAAATTTATTCTTGCCTGTACGCTAAAAGACCGTTCATTAGTTTCAGAGAAATAATTATGAAAACTGTTCAGCTGTTTTATAGTACTGTGTTTGGATTTTTTGCACTGCACTTATGTTTTTTGATTGTTTACCTCACTTCTTAAATAGATTCATCAACTATGTGTCTAAAGAAATTGTATTTGTTCCTATAGTGTATGATGCAAGAGTAAATTATAATGTTGTATTTGGGATGCTTGGCAAGTCTGATGTATGATTACCTGCCTTCCCTCCCCATTCCCCTTTTCTTCCCTGTTGATTTTTTCAAATCACAAAATTTTAACCAGGTAAAGGTTGTACAAAGGTTCATCCAGGTAGATGTTGCATGGAACTGTTCTGCTTGTGTCCCCGGGCAGTTAGTGTTTCTTTAGCAATGCTTTATGACTCCGACCATGCAAATCCTCAAAAGAAGTGAAAGAGCACATCTCACAAACTGCTCTGAAGAGGATCTCAGTGGTGCTGAGATTAAAGAAATACTGTACCAAAATACCTGGAGAGGTTTAAAAGCAATTCCTTGTAAATGTACAATAAACAGAGTTAATAAGGAGCCAGACTAGTCTTGCCAAGAGAAAGGGTTCCAATACAATCCTGTCCTCCTGTATGTAACGGTTCCTAGCTTGTGTTCTACAACAGCGCTGGGAACCTAAGGACTCAATGCTTGCTGCTTTTTTTTTTTTTTTTTTTTTAAAATCTTCGGGGAGGAAGCAGGGAGGTCTATAAAACAGGAGCTCACTATAAAGCCTTTGTGGCCATGCCTGTAGGAGCAGTTGGGTGCATGCCTCAGCAGAGCCTAGCATACTGGCCCGCAGTTGTCTAAGCTAGGGATCTGGCATGCATGGTGGTTTCCTTCCAATCAGTATAGTCAATCTGTTTCTAAGGAAATAAAGGTAGCTGAACAGAAGGAGGACTGGAGGGCTAGCGCACACCTGGGTGTCACCCTTGAATGGGACAGAATGGAAGCAGGGAGCTTAACTGGCTCCACAACTCAGAAGTATTCCTAAACCTGCCAGTTTTGATATTGCTAAGAGATCTGCATTTGGAGCTTCTCATCTCTGTGTTAAGCTTCTTGTGAATAATGAAAACAGTAAAAGATTTTATAGCCTGTGTGAAACTGCTTAGCAAATTAAATTCCAACCGTTATTTCTCACAGTCAATAAGAGTCCTGTGATTTCATCTCTCTCATGCAGTAAGCATCTCCTGCTCTCACGAATACTGCAATCCACTGGTAGGTCTGTGCTGAAAATAGCACAAGAGCACCAGCAGTCCTACTGAGAGTAGTTCATCTTTGAGTCAAGGAAAAGAACTTACATAGGCCAATGAGGCACTTTCTGTGAACACTAGATTTACTTTAGAAACTATTTATGGTGTCTTGTTGAAATGTGTTTCCCTTGTCCTAATAACTTCCTCTTCTGCCCCAATCACATAAAATTGTAACGTCTTGTTTCCAGGTTAATCATAAAGGTATTACGTGTGGAAAATGAAACAGTCTGGGAAGCCAGTATAAGCCCAAATTTTCGAGATGTTTGTCTAGACAATTTACAGAATGTACAGAAACTAAAAATTGTGCCAAAGCTTGAGGTCAAAGGAGTAGAGAGTTAGTTCTGTGATAACAGTACAGCATTATCTAGCAACGAAATCTGGTGATCAAAACCCCCAATAAGACAAAAACGGCTATTTGACAATCTGAATTCACCTTTGGGAATGTTTCTAGGTTTTGCTTTTTGAAACAGGACAGAGAACTCCAATCTGAAAGCTATTATCAGGCCTTCACGTATCAGCTGAAGCAGCCTCCAGGGATGTCATAAACTGATCTGTGGATTCCATTTTCCTCTTGCCCTTTCATGTGGTAGCCTTCTGGAGCTAGCAGTGTTCCAAGTACCGATTCATTTTTTAGTAAACTGGAGCTAAGTTTGGTGACTAGGACATGCCAGCACAATTCCTGCCACTAAATTAAGTTTTAAAGTAATGCACTACATGCAATATAAAAATAAAGTTTATTCAATGCAGCATCCATTTCTTTTTAAAATCACTCAAACATCATGATCCTGACTTTCCAATTTCTGTCCAAGGTTGTCCTAAGCAATGCAAAACCATTTTGAAGAAACTACCAAAATGGAAGCTGCTATCAGAGATAGTTCCATTAGGGAATGGTTCATGGTTTTGGCACTTTCTTGGATTTACTGTATGTTTCTTTTAAAATGATTGAGTATGAAACAATTAATGATGTTATTTTTAAAAGGAATATAGGGTGTTAAGGGATTAGCTTCTTCCAGTTTTCAGTTATTAAGCAGAACAATTTTGGCACCTGAAAGCCAATATTCTTTTGCCTACCAACAAGAAAACTGAATCTGTTACTTTTAGTCTATTTTGAAGATTGTTACTGAAGTCACAAAGCCTAGACATCTTTTCATAAACATATCTGAAAGGTGGGTTGCAGTATCATGATTTTGTATAAACAATTACATTTTTGAAAGTGTTTGGGTGAAAAAAAATACAGAAAATGCCTTCCTTTTACCTTCCTTTTCTGTTCAGCATTGTCACAATGAATCTTTTTCTTTTCCATGTTTTTTCAAATGTGCTGTCACTGCCTTGTCTGATTTGTTTCTTCTCCTTCCCCCATACCAGTGTCAGAGAAGATTTAAAGACTGGCCACAGACTCCCTGTTCTGTTTGTGCAATGAGTAGCAGTGGCAACCCCATTCTTGATTGGTCCCTATGCATTGCTGTCATAAATATGATCGACAGTTCTATCATGTTTCCTCAACCAGCAAGAATGGCACCATGAACTTTTATAGATTAAGCAAAAGGGTTAGGGAAGTGGAGTAAATAGAGAGAGAAAAAAAAAAAAGAAGAAGAAAAAAACCAACCCAAACAACCCCACCCTTTTAAGACTTTCCTATGTTGCTAACATTGCATTTTAAAGATGGCTAACGTGTTTCAAAATAATCCAGTCCCTTCGCTAAGTCGATCCACTCGAATTTACAGGTCATATACTGTGTCTTTTGTATACAAAATAAACACTCTTT